AAGGCATCAAATTTCAATATGAAAATTTTGAAAATAGGACAAATTACATGAATGTAGTCTTTAAGTGTCTTGCACCGTATAACAAAAATAAAAACTTTAAAAATTACTAATAACTCAAAATTTAATATATAAAACCAGCTTTGATGCTTTAATAAAAAAAATCTTTGCAAAATTTTACTATAAACTATACTTTTATTCTAATCTAGTCTTAATTTAATTTTAATATTAAATAGATTTATTCTTGATTTATAAAATTATCTGATTTAATTATATATAAACAATTACTAATTAAAAATTACTAATTTACTACTAGTAAATTTTAAATAATTTTTTTTTTTAATGTATCAATAGTCTCACTAATATCTTTATTAAATCAAAGCTAATATACAAGTATATTTTAAACTATCTAAGCTATAGATCTAATATCATTTGACTACCTCTAAGGGTAACCAAGTACAGTCTGTCTTACTAGTTAAGGCTATTGCTTATATTAGAAGATTATATTAAACTAGCTAGTGAAACCATAACAAGATAATTTCAAATCAAAAGAATTTTTTACTAAATTAAATTGGTAATTTTTCCTTTCTATACTATTCACTTTTCTAAAACAAAAAAATAAATCTAATTTTTTAATAATAAACAGTTTAATTTTCTCTTTCAAATCAGAGTTATTACCAGGATTCTTTCATTTGTACTTGCATTTTCTCTTTCTCTTCTTCTAGTTTAATCTGTCCTTTCTAATCAGAAACTCAGTCTTAAGAGTTTTCTTATATTCTTTTCTATAATCTTTTTTTTTGTTTCACAGCTCAATAGTTTCTTTCTTTTTTTCAAGAGTTTGTTCTATAGACTTCTTCTGAGAATATTTTTCTGTTAATTCTTTGTTTCTCTAAGTATCTTGGGTCTTCTTTTGGTCCTTTTGGTTTTAGATCTTAGGCGGTCTGCTCGAGTTTTCTTTCTTCTGTGATCTGAACATAAGAGATCTCTTCTCTTCTTCTTTTTATCTTCTTTCTTTTTCAGTTTTTGCTCTCTTTAATCTGAATACTGATATATCTTGTTCTTGAAACAAGCTCTTGTTTAGATTCATAGAACTTTATATTATATATCTATTTTGCTAGCAGATCTTTTTTCTTCTTTTTTTACTTTTTACTATTGGATTATGAGTCTTTAATACTTGCTTAATATATTACTTCTATTAACTACTCTGCTGGAGTTGTTAATATAATTTTGGGTCTAGTTTTTTCTTGAAGCTTGTTCAGCACTTTTCTTATATAAGACCTGTAATGTTTTATTTCTTGCTTTTCTTTTTCTTTTCTTCTCAAATTTTTCTTCTTTTCTTAGCTTGCTTTGTTGCATCGAATTTAGCAGTTACCTTAAATTGTATTACTAGAGTTCTTAGTAATGATTTGTTATACTGCTTTGTCAGATTTTTCTTTGTTCTTAAAGTCTTTTGCTCTAGTCTAGATCCAATTTTAACTTAATTTTGGCAGCTTGTTTTTTCTTTTGCTGAGCTTCAAATTCTAACTTTAATTTTGTTTCTGTGACCTATTTTTTCTTTTAAAGAATTTGCAACTTCTTCTTTTCTATTTTGGTTTTTTTTTTAATTTTATACTGGTTTGTTGTGGTAGTTTTGACGAATTTTTTAAATTGTAATAATTTTCTCAGAGCTGTTTTGTTGTGTTGCTTTTGTCTACTCTTTCTTTGTTCTTGGAGTCTCTTGCTCCAACCTGTTTCTAATTTTGACTTTATTTCAGCAGCTTGCTTCGTTCTATTATCTACTATCTATCTTATTCTCTTGGCAAAATCTAAATTAATCATAATATTATTCATTTTTTATATATGATATAGTTGACTAGATCTACTCTCTTTTGTATTGCTATATAATAATAATGATAGTTTCTTTCTTTAAGTGCAGTTCTGTATACTGTATTTCTTCTCTTCTGTATTGCTATAGTTCTTTATACAGTACTTCTATCTGTGTCTCAGCTTTTTTTTCTGTTATAAGTTCTTTTCTAATATATTCTGCTAAAATTTTTTCTATGTTATTTGATATTTCTTTATCAATTAAAGATGCTACTGCTTGTTGTATATGAGCTTGTCTTTTCTCATAGTTTTTTGGTCAAATTTCTGCTTTGTTATATTTCGTGAGCTCACTTTTATTACTTTAACTAAATTTTATATATAACTATCAACTTTTCTTTTTCTGTGGGTTTTTGTAATTATTTTATATTTTGGTCTATTCTTTAAGTTTGCTTCGATTACTAAATTAAACTTATCTATAATGCTAAGTATTTTTTCTGTAATAATAAACTTATGTTGACACTTTTTACTTTTTAATACTAACTTATAATTATGATTGTTTATTTTTCTAAGTCCATGTTCTGTACTGAAGATTTCACCCTGTCTGTATTGTTCTAGTTCTTCTAGAAGAGCTACTATTTTTCTTCTACTTTTTCTCTTGTGGCAGGCCTTTTTCTAAAATATTTTGCTAAATTTTGCTTCACATGATTTGTTGTTTTCCTATTATTATTGTTTGTTGTTATTTTGTTTATCTTTGTTATATAGTTTTTGGCGTGTTTTTTTTGTTTATTCTTTATTATATATTGTAATTTTTGTATTACAAAACAGATCTATAATTTAGGATCAAGGCCAATTTCTCAAAAATTCGCAAAGTGCAAAAAAATATTGATAATTTTTCATGTCTTCTTCGATTTCTTTACCACTTATGCTTTTTCTACTCAAGTTTCTTAAAAGACTGGGTATTTTTTAGTGTTCTCTTCCTCTTTATTTAGGGCTCTGAGCTTAGTTTTCTAGTAGCTTTTGTGTATTTTTTGTAGTTTCTATTAAATTTTTATTTTTAGAAATTTGTATTTTGATGATTAGCAGAAAGAGTTTTTGTAAATAGTATTTGAATTTTAAATAAATTTTTATTGTAAATAAAATAAAATTAAATAATAAATATTCTAAAATTTTAAATTAATAATCATTTTTATATAAATTTTAAAATATTTTAAATATTATAATTAAAAAATTCTTAATTACAATATAATATAAGATATTTTTCTAAATTTATATCTGTTTAGAATTATAAATGAATATATAATATATAGATAAAAGTTATTTATTATTATTTTTGTTAAATATATTTAAGATTTTTTAATTGTTAAATAAAATTTTAAGGGTTATAAATTAACAAATTGGTTGATCTTTAGTATAGGTAGATATATATAATTATTATACAATTATAATATATATAAATTAACTATTTTGAACTAATTTAAGTAATTTTATAAATTATTAGAGTCAGGGTTAAGGTTAGAATTTAAATTAGCTCAAATTAGTTAAGTTTTTTTTTTTTTTTTTTTTAAAGGTGGCATCTTTGTCTAGGTCTTTATTACATTATTATAATTACAAATTATGTGGTAACTATAGTACATCAGTAAAACTTTAGCCTAGGACTAATTTATCTTTGATGCATATCTCTACCTAATCTATCTAACCCTATTTTTAGTATATATTAAGATTTTCTATACTATATATTATATTTTTAATATATTCTCTATATACTATATAAACTACCAGATTGGTGAGATTTTTCCACTGTCATCCTATAGTACTCCCAGTTTGGTGTATATACCTGTATCCTACTAGTTGAATTCTCAGACCGCTTATCTACACACTCACCGATCTTCATATCCTTTTGGTGATAGACTTATCATTCAAGTATATGTACAGTATATCTATTTTATGTACTCCCCAAATTGGTATAGACCTAGACATGGTTATAATTCTAACTAGTAGAGCTACTTCTAATCGAGTTTTGTATAACAATATTACTTTCAACTTACAGCTGTATTGGTTGGTATTTTAGAATTGGTGTATCCGTATTGGTCTTGTATTTTGTCAAAGACTTCCAATTGGGTGTAATTTATACTGACACTTGTGAGATATTTACACATACACAGATATTCTGTAATACCTCTCTATACTAAATACTTCATATTAGTATAAATTGCCAGAGGTGTTCTTTATTTGGTTAGGCTAATTCTTTATCACAGATTCCTTTATGTTCACCACTTTTCTCACCACTCCAGTTTGTATAACAGTTATATTACTCTTCCAAATCAAGATCCCAAGACCGCCTTAGGGTTGTTGGTGCTACCTTGCCACCTGCAGGATTTATTCACACAACCTTTCTGTTATCAAACCTTCTGTAATGCCGCTGTCATATATAGTGCATTTCTTCTCTATAATAGATCTCCTTCCAGAAATTCCTAAACCAAATTCGTACTTCACTTGGACTTCCACAGGGTTTTGCATTTTAAATACTCTAGAAACTGCTTCTAGTAGAACTTGAACCAAAAACCTTGGCTGTGGGGTAGGCGCTTAGACTACTAAGCTATAGGGCCCTAACCCTAATTAGTTAAGTTTTTAAATTATAATCTTGTAATAATTTATATATGCCCACTTATACTAAAGAAGATCCAATTTTTTATATCAGGTCATTTAGTCTTTTCAAATATAAATAATCAAACAACCAATGACCAATTTATTTGGTCATCCAGTTGTTGGTTATTTAAAATGCCAATACTGATATATATGAGTATTATAGTCAAAAAGGTACTATAGTTAGTATAGAAAATATAAGTTACACTATATAAGCACCACAGTTATATTTGTAATCAAATTAAAACTCTGATAACATGTTTTCTTAATAAAAATTTGATCTTATCAATCATGTTTTCTTACACTTTTAGCATAAGTATAATAATTAATAATATCTAAAGATAATCATATTTGCAAATTTGAGAAATTTTGGTATTTTATCAGAATATGTGGTCTATCACTCATTGTTTTGTTTATTCTTATTGGACTATATTGCAAATCATATTCTGTTTCTAACCATCAATGTATCCATTTTTATTATAAATAAGTGGTGCGTTGATTGATGGGTTAGACATGATTGACAATTTGGTAACTATAAACAGATTATGATTTGCAATATGGACCAAAACAATGCGTGGTAGACCACATATCCTGGGAAAATACCCAAATTCCTCAAATCCGCGAATATATAAAAGGTTTAGAAGGGCACGTGTTATTGCATAGGTTCGCCATTCCTAGACTGCCCGGGAAGTTACTTATTGTTTATTATGCTGAAAGATCACAAAATTTTCGCGGTACTGCAAGATTTGATATTCAACCAAAACAAGTCCGTGAATGGAAAAGTCAAAAATCGCAGTTACAATCAGTTGCTCCATTTATTCAAAAACTTTAAGTGTAATGAATCCATCTCCATCTTTAATGCCTGGGTATTTTCATTCCGAAGTGTAATTAATCCATCTTTAGTACCCGGGTATTTTACATTCAAAGCGTTGTCATTTTTCAATCTACCCAGTTTTAATACCCCAGTACAATGCATTCTAGGTCTCTAAAAATCGTGAGGGTATTATAATAGGTGATCTTTTAGACCATTCTATACGATAAGTTCGCTATGGTGATAAATTAAATATTCACTTACAAGTTTTCCCTCTCCAGTACTCATTTACCCTATAAAATGTTGATCCGTGTTTATTATTCCATGTTTTTTCCATAAATGTTTCATTTTCATGGAATTTATAACCTTAAATCATGGAAATTTTTATCGGATATCCGTAATGTATCATTTGCATGGAATTTTTACGGAGGTCACAGAGCAATAATGGAAATATTCGGATAAAATTTTTTTATAGGGTTATAAGAATCGTTTAGCGACAAATATTTAAGATAATTTACCGCAAAACTTAAAACTTGAAAAATAAGCACTATACCCACTGCTCTATTTCTGAGATAGAAAAAGTAGAGGATTGGCACTTATTTTTCGAGTTTTACAGTATTCACTTATTTAATTTTTTTTTATTTATGCAGGTTTAATTAAATTAATAGGTCAGTTGAAATATTTATTATGTTTTGTTATTTATTCTGAAATTCTTGGTGTGCTATTAGCAGAAACAGTAGTTATCATGATTAGAAATTTCACAATAAACATAAATTTTCTTTATGATAATTTCTGAGATTAGTTTTTTTAAAATCTTGCTGATATCAATTGCTATACTTAATTTATTCTCATTAATTCTTAAATATAAAGGTCTTTATTAATAGGCATATTTGATATTACATCAAGATCCATTGTGGCGAAATATTAATTTTTTGCTAATCGGCATATTTAAATGGGCTATTCAAGCAAATAGTACTTATCATTATCCTATATCTTCTGTGATACGTTAAATTTATTGGTTTACAGAATTTGATTAGTGCGTATAAAGATAGATCATTGTATATGCTAGTAGCGCGTAATTGATCGTACTGGTCCTGCGCGACACCGAGTGCTGCACAGATAACCTATTTTTAACTGATTACCAGTAAAGGATTATCTAGGGCGACCCCCAAAAAATGCTAATATAATTCAGGTTGATGATCTTCAAAATTTTAATTTGTCTGAAAATTAATTTTTTTTCAATCGTTTAATCCAAAACAGGAAATTAGACCTGCTTCATAATAAGATTGGTTCGGGAATACTTTTAACAGAATACCTTTTTACTTTTGTAAAGCCGGATAAAGGTAGCTGATTTCTTAAAAAAGCCCAGTTTTTTATTAAAGCAATTTATGCCAAGAACTATAAATGTAGACTTACAATATGATGCCACCTAGTTACGTCAATATAAAAAATCGGTTTATAAAATGCAATTGAGCCGTAATTAGTGACGTAAATAAGTCTGCATCTATACCAGAACATTGTGAAGCGGAGTGTATGGTTCAATTCGAGTTTTACGTTCGTCCACAAAATCTTGATTCTAATTGGGTATAGTAATCGAATGTAGCGATGGTACCCAATCGAAAAAAAGCCTACCCGATTATTTGACGGGTATACCCGGGTGATCAACCGGGTATAAAATCCTACCCGATATACCCGAGTAAGGTTAACTAAATACTTTTACTTTACCAGATAGCTGCGCTCAAAACCAGGAACCGAAACCCTAAAACAAGAAACAGCTAGATAAAATGTAAGAATTTGTGCCTAACCGATTACTTTATCCTTCAACTGATTACTTTTAATCAATCAATGTGTTTATTTATGCTGATTTTTATCGATATGCGATATATCCGTCAAGTAATTATCTAAAAAAAAAAAAAATTAATATTTAATCAAAATATAAAGACCTACAAAAATTACTAGAGTCGAAACCTGACTTGTTGAATCTACAAATTTCATCACCATCCGTCTCAATATTATTAAACAGCTAAATAACGTTTTCATATTGTTAACCAAATTTTTCAAGTCATTAACACTAAAATCACATTTATATTAAAATCTGTTGACGTAATTTTGGTGTAATCGTGTTTACGTAAAAATTATACTAGGCCATCAATAAATCTTTTTTTTTTTGAGTTTTATATGATAATCTCGCATTAGACCTAAAGATTTACAAATTTAGCGTGAATACCATGTACAAATAATTTTTTAAAGTTACTATTAGGTATACGTTAAATATGTAAACCCGGGTCTATCTAGGGCTGTCTTTCTAGTTTCATATTGATAACAACCTCTGACATAAAGATAAATCATTCTATTAGTATTCCAATTTTGATAATTAAAAATTTTGTATTATTTCGGGAAGAGATGCAGGTTTTGTAAGTCGATTCGCTAAAACACACTGATTTCAGAATTTAAACTGGATAACGGATTAGTGCATATCTATCACAGCTGCAAATTACTCTTGTACTTGGTAGTTACTGATAGGTTTAAACTCAACATAGTTTAATATCTTTATCGAAGCACTACTTTATTTTATTATTATTATTTTTTTTAAGAGTGAGGCCTGGCCTCGGTCTTTATTGAATAGTTATGCGTTACATTATATAAATGGGTTACATGAATTATTACAGGGACCTACAGCTAGGACTAATTTATCCTCGGCCCAAAGCTCTACTAGAGTGGGCTACCTGGTCTTCACTAGATTTAGTTTAGCTATATATGATGTAGATATGTTGGTTGTGGGAAACAAAGTTTACTTTATTTTAGTTGATTGCTTAATTTAGTATAAACCCTTTTAGGTCTAAAATTCTACACATAGCTTTCAAGGAAAATATAATATTTTAAAAATAACTTTTGTACAGTATATTGAAGTATTAAGCTTATTATTAGTTTATTTATATTTAATTAGCTTGGATAACCTATATGAATATTCAAATTTTTTGTTACCCAAAGGTTATTCGGGTATGTCTACCCGGATATTACCCGGATATTACCCGGGTATGTTTACCCGGGTAGCTGAGTTTACAACCGGATATCCAGGTAATATTCAACCCGGGTATCATCACTAATCGAATGATTTGTACGACACAATGATCTTTATTAACCCTATAAAATTTTATGTAGCTTTTTTTTAATTGTTTGTTCATGTTTTGTATTTCAATTGGTTTATAAAATCTTATACTGTAGTATTGTATTATTACTGTATATGAGTGCCTGGTAACTTATTTATATGTTTTAAAGTATTTTTTATAACATGACGTTTTGTTAATAAAAATTACTGCAAACATCGTTCACAGATTTAGAAGAGTACTAGCGTTCATTGTACAAAGGAATCTCCAAAAGATCTTAAACCTGACATACTTAGAAGCTAAAATATAACTGTCGTCTATTGAATGATGTAGTAGATTAAAGGTGACTAGGAATGCTTTGTATAAGACTGCTTTATCCCATTATATTCAAATAAACCTTTATTGTTAACTGTTTGATTTTAGATAGGTACAAACGAATTAATAGTTGATTTGATTTTGTGATATGTTCTGGATCTGCCAATCGTAAATTAAAGTTTCGATTCAAAATTATGAATTGTATAATAAGCCCAGTCATCAGTAGATACAGTCAATTTGTTCTAAATGCAATTTTTCCAAGTATATTTTGGTTTCAATTTTTGTTAATTGTTCTCTAAATGCAAGCTGCCAAAAGTCTGGTCCCAACGAATTACACTTAGTGAGAATTGACTTTTATGATGAATTTAGGTGATTATCTATGTTATAATTACAGGACTCACAGGATTCATAAAAAGTCTTAAATTGATCAATCCCAATTAGATCGAAAACATAGATAAGCACATTAGATTTAGTAGTAGGAACTATAATATTTCAATAGTTCTATAATTCCTAATTACACTGTTGTGTTTAAAATCCAAGTCAAATTGAGATTAAAATAATATAATAATACTCTTCTGTTTCATAATTAATAGGTATTTGGCACAAAGTGCCAAATAATTATTAAGTATAAAAAATTCCATTGTTTTTTCTAGGTTGATTCAATTCTATATCTAAAAGATTTATAATATACTAATCGTTATACTACGTTCTTGGTTTTAGTGTGACAACGTCGCACAGTTACCAAGCTCTAATGATTAGTCTTAAGGTATTAATTACTGTAAATCGTTTTATTTTTATGAATCATACTATTTTCAGGAAAGTTAGCGGATTTCTTAAAAAAGAACTCTCGAACTTCTATATAAGTAATTTTAATATAGTACCAGGCACTAATGATTAATTAAAAACGCTAAATAAAATAAGTGCCAATTAAATTTCGTTGCATTCAGTGTTGACCGATAACCAAAATCACACAATCATATGATTTATATTAAGCGTTAATAAGTAAATCTTTTTTATTACATGATTCTTACTATATGGGTAATTATTTTTGAACCCGGACCAATTTTATATATGACGTAATAACATTTTGGTCTGAATTCAAAAATAATTACCCATATTAAAGGGTTATAAAATCATATCAACCTTCGTCATAACCAAGTGACCTATGACAAATTATAAAGATCATTTAAGATCATCAACCAGTACTAGTTGCATTGACCATACAAAAGACCGATTTCAAAAATGAATCAAATCAGGTATAAAGTATAATGTATTTATAAACAGACTGTTTTGGGACTGGAACGGACGATGCGTCCCTACTTTATCGCTATATAAACTTTGCTCTCAGGATATTCTGATCTTTATAAAACAAATAACTATTGCGTATCAATACTCATTAATAAAAGATATAAACACAAATTACTATTACGTATCAATACTCATTAATAAAACAATTCTGTGTGCTTCTTGGGGTGCTCCTCTTCGTTCTCGTCGATACAGTCAACGTCAACCATGAAGAAGACAAAATGAGAAAAGAGGACTTGGTGCAAAATGTAAAGCAGACAGCGATTGTGGTTGTCCATACGTTTGTCGTTTTGGTGGTCAAGATACATATAAATGCCAAATAACTGATACACGAGGATATCAAGAGGCATGTCCTAGGTGTCCTGGTATTAAGGCGTGCGCGAAAGGTCTAAGATGTGTTCCTGATAATAATTTTAACTACAAGTGTCTCGGTATGCTAGATATCGGAGCTGGATGTGATAGTGATGATAGATGCATTAACGGACTCTGTCGTAAGTACGGTGAAGGTGCAAATACATGTCAATCAAGTGATACACGAAAACTCGGAAAGACTTGTTATGGTAGAAATGCGTGTGCTAACCATGATAACAACGACCATATAACGTGTGACTTTAATAGTAATCGTAAGAGAGTATGTTGTGACAGTTTAAAAGACAGTTGCCCATTAGGTCCATAGGTTTTTAGATTTAGTAAATAGTAGCGCTATTTTTTTTTTTTTTGTATAAGGATAGCAGAACCAGTGCGATTTGTGACCAGTAAATTTATTTTGATCTAATTACTATTTAGACAACTGATTATAAATCTTTTTAAACTAATTAAATAAATATAAACTATCATGTGATGGTACAGTATGCGTTATTACTTATTTTCAAATTCCTGTGAACATCAGATCAGATAATCGTCTATCACACAAGAATTTCAAAAATCCTTTGAATTCTTTTAAAAAAATTCCCATTTAAAAAATAATTTAATCTAAAGATTCCCCATCAAACGTTAATTCTATAGCATATTATCTGTTTGTATGTTAGATTTGTAGCTAGTTGACCAAACGAACATAAAAAATGTTCAATATTTTGACAGATTTTGAGCGAAAGGATCATATATAGTTTTATTGTTTTAAGCTATTTTCAAATTAGCCTTAAGCATTGTGATTTATCAGGCTATTATTAAGAATTCTTCGAAGACTGAAAAAACGACCAATATTAAAGCTTTCATAAATATATATCAAATTGGAGCTGATATAATTTCTAGCCAATCTGATTAGCCAAATTTCTGTGTAGTGTATAAAGTGTATAATAAAATTTATTGATCACAGTAATTTGAAAAGCATTATAACTTCAAATCATGCTAGTACAATCAAAAACACTTTGCACCAACCATTTTATATTCTTTCAATCCCATTTAGCCGTTTGAACTGATTAAACAACTAAATTAACACTGATAAAAAAGAAATCAACAAGTGAATAAATTATTTCAAATAGCTAAATTATACAAGAAAAGGCTTAAAAATGTTATACTGTATAATTAAGATAGCTGCACGATGTAGTCGCGTAGTTGCGCTTAAACCAGAAACATAGTATGATTCTCTAGACTTGTATTAAGGATCCAAGTGCAGTGGCAAACTTTCTAATAATTTTAAGAATATTTACCAAATATTTTCTGCAAACTACCTCAAAGTATTATCCATCTTGTAATTGATTAAACTTTCTGTATACGTATAAGGTTTTAAACTGAAAATAAAATTTGAACCAATTATATACAAAATTTTAAGTTTATTACATGTATGAAATACGCATTATTTATAAGAGATCCTTTGAGCAGAATAGAGGTAAACAATCTGTGGGTTTTTCACATAAGATACCGGATATGAAATTGTAGGATCTTTTTGTAATATATTCAATTCCTTTAATAAAATATTAATTGATTATAAAGTTGGGTAATCTATGGGCACACAGAATTTTTTAATAATTTTTCGTATGGGCGAAAATTTTTGATGGGAATATAGTGATCATTCAAATTAAGTTATACAATAATCACTCCGAATAATAAAAATATGTTGCGCAGCGTCACTATATCAAAATAATAATGAGCAAGTATACAATTAACCAATCAAATGCAAGTAAAATGCTTAATTTTAATAAACGGTTTAATGACGGTTTCATTAGCAATTTATAACTCAGAAGACAATCAACCAATTATACAATCCATACAATTCTATTAAATTTTGAATATTTACTACCGGCAATTTCGCAACTTCACATAAATGATTAGATCAAATTTTATGAATTATTATCATTTATTTTTAATAATCACCAGAATCGACAAAATCCGCCCATATAGTGTAGTTCGTAAATTTTGGCCAGCATTAAAAAAAATGAAGCCTTTTGAAATGTGCTAAATAGAAAATGAATGTACGTAAATTCGAGTAAAGTTAGAAATACTTCGATGCCTTGTTAGCATCAAAATGGTGTAGCATATACTTTAGCTAATTTGTATACTGTAAATGAAGAGAAAGCTACTCTATAATTAGAAAATTTTAAAAATAAATTTATATAGAATTCATAATTATCGATGCAGCTAATGCTCCGAACGGGTCGACCCGAATGTCCTGAAACTAACCTGATTGTAATGTATTTATCATATTGACCACATGCCAGTTTCGAGTAATTCAGGTCGACCAGTTCTGAACACTAAATTCAACGGTATACAATTACATTTGAAACCGGTGAATTGATGGTAGATTTATGTGTAGGTGCTTTATCTGATTAAAGTCTATTAGTCTTACAACAAAAGAAATGGCTTAAAAACTATTGAGTAAAATTTTATGCTAGGCCGAAAATCGGATACTTAAAGAAAGTGAAATATCATCTAAGAGCATGCATGAGTGAAATAAAAGTATTTTCTACTAGCGATAAATTAAAAATAGTTTTGATTAGTAAAAATTTATGTATCTAAATCTATATTTGATACAATTTACGCATTCAATTGGATATTACCAAAGCTAGCTAAATTTATTAGTCTCACTTCCGATGACAGATCAATTTAAAAATTTAATAAAAATCTCATGTAATAATAGGTTTCGGATAAATTTCGGCTACAAACCGATTGACATAAAAAATTTTAGGTAATTTGTAAATTACCGATACTGTTAACCAATAAACACAAATTTCAGACACAAATTTCAGAACACAATTAACTTGATTATTTCAATATCATATATTTTTGGACTCTTTCTACTAAAAAAGCACCAACTTTATGCCATTTTTAATTGATTTTGGTGGTTATGTTAGAAGAATTAAGTGTGACGATTATATATGTTATAATTTTTATTTTTTATTAACCTCTTGCACTCATATGCCAGATGATTTTTAAGAACCTTAAATGTCCTTGATAAATTTTATCTTCTTTATGAACTTTTTCTATATTCCAGTAGAAGGACAACCACATACTTTTTAGTAGTATTCAAAGACTCATCGTTAGACAACATTGTTTTATTTGTATGAAACAAACTTTTGATTTACCAAGCGATTAAGTTTATATTTGTAATAATTCATTAAAAACTTTAATTAATCGCAATATATTTGAAATTAATTAGATGGAGTCACAAATTTAATGTTAAATTTATAAAAAACGTAATTATTATCAAATTTTATAAAATTTCACGGTATAATAAAGAAAATAATTACATCAATTTTATATAATTTAAATGATAGGTTTCTATTTCATAAAAATGATAGATTTTTTAATAAAGAATTTAGTTTATGCAAAATTTAAATTTAAATTTTGATAATTTAGGTTATACATGTGGCCAAAACTATTTCGACTTATTCGAAACTAGTTGCAATATAAGCCGTAATAGTTTCAACACAAGCTGAAATAACTTCAATTACATGTATAATTTGGATTAATTTTTAGTTATCGATACAAAATTTCGATTTCGAAAAATATAGTAATAAATCGAAATCAATCGAAATCGAAATCTAATCGAAATCATTACTGAGTTTGAAATTCAAAATTTCAGCCGCGTGTATAAATAAAGCTAGTTGAGTTTTCATAGTGCTAGTACTATATGCACGTGTGAACGTATGAGCGAAAATTTTGATAGGAATGTTGTGATTATTAAAATTAAGTGATATGCTTAATGATTTATAAATGATTTATAAATATTTAATAAGGTAGCTGCGCAATGCGGTTGCGCTAAAACCAGGAATGGGTTAAGTTCTTATAAATCGTTTACTCTCAAATAGCTTAGGTTTTTATTACATAACGATAGAAGTTTAGTAGATAACAGAAAGTAAAACAAGCTTTAATATTATTGAGAAATTAAAGCATCGGGACAAGCTTGACGTAACTAAGTTATAACTTATTTTGACTTTTTGTTTTAAGTTACGGCATGTTGTAATATGTGTATATCAGTCGATCCAGATGTCACGCAGATCAGGTGAATAATTTTTTTACTACGAAATTTGAGTGATCGACACTCATATAAATTCATAGTAAATTGCAACGGTAGACTATTTT